ACATTTTATAAATAAAAAAACATATTATTACTTTAAATAAGAAAATAATACCGGGTTTTAATATTTAATTGATATTCTTTTATGCGAAGGGAATTCTTATCCTAAGAACGACGCATGATTATGCATGTAATTACGTTATGATATTATTTATAATTTCATTGGGTTTTTAAAAAAAAATCAAATAAAGTAAGAACAATTGGTATCGCAAATTAATGAAAACAAAAAAAAAAAAAAAAAGAAAAAACAGGGTAAAAGAAGAAAAGAAAGTTAGCGTTTAATTTCAATTAAACCTCTTAATTTTTATTATTAATATTAATATTATGAATAGTATGAATAGAATATTATTAATACATTATGAATATTAAATATATTACGAATATCATTGAGGCCTATGAACTTTTGGTTACTTTAATGGAGGTTTGGTTAGTACTAAATTATATTAAATGAAATCTCTGATAATAAACTTTTTGACATGTTATATATTTATTTCAATGCAAACTGAAAATCATACATTTTTTTTTTTTTTACACATTGTATATTATACACGTAAGATAAAAATTTATTTATTTTAGACGCGCATGAATATGTGAAAGAGAATGCAAAAGAATGAAATTAATCATTTTCGGACGCGCATGAATATGTGAAAGAAAATGAAAAAAGAATGAACCTAAAACTTAATCTTTCACGTAAAATTCAAAACACTATAATATTTGGTCAAATTTCAAAGTAATTAGGAAAATCTTTATCCTTTCGAAAAAAAAAACATTTAAAACTGATTTGATATCTACTTTAATTAGGCATATTCAAAAAAAAAAAAAAAGTATTAATAGAAATTTTTATTTGTTTAATCAACCTAATTTTAAATATTGAAAATCTATTTTTATAATTTCAAAACGACTGCCTTATTTTGGATAACTTTCTGGTAAATTGGAAATATCAGTTTTGAAAGGACATTTTTTTATGTATCAAATGTAATGTCTCGCTACCAAAAAATAATTTACATTTAATATTTCCTTTCTCGTCTAATATTAGAAAATATTTAAATAACCATATAACCATATTGGGTTAGAATAAATAAGTGCAAAATAATGATTCATTATTCGAGGCAGTAAAAATTATTTTCCAAAATTATAATAATCCAAGATAAAACATATTTCGTTTTTCGTGTTTTCTCGTGATTTAACGGAATGGTATTACGATTACGAAATAATTACAAATCAAACATTAAAATTCCGAAAATGATATTGTGAAATCACACCATACACTATGTCTTTTTTTTTTATTGCAAGAATAATTGAATAATATATGATACATAATCTTTACGTTGTGTTTGTTGCACATTACAAGAGTTAATTATATTTATTATTTTTTATTTTATAAGAATTCTTAAAGAAAATTCTCTGTTATAATTTTCTTTATTTTTTCTTTTTTTTTTTTTTTAAGAAATAGACACCCAAATTTTTTATTTAAGTTATTATTATTATATTTAACTAATAATAATATAATAAAAATGGATATGGCATCTCAGATTCGTTCTCTATTCGATAATCCAAAGTCTGCTGATATCATGTTACGCGTAGATGGAAAAATTTATCATGGACATACTTGTATCATGATTGCCACCTCCGGTTTCTTTAAATCATTCTTTCATGTTCAATATAGACTTGATAATAAATATTCACTTTTTTCAAAAATCAAAAACAAAAAATCATTATCATCATCCTCCTCTTCTTTACATTTAACTCCTCAAGAAGGAGGAGAAGAAGAAGAAGGAGAAGAAGAAGAAGGAGAAGAGGAAGAAAAAGAAAAAGAACAAGTATCTAAAACTCCCAATATAACATTTTCAATGACAACCACCTCAAATAATGAATTTCATTTTCACGATTATTCATGTTCCACCACGAATGTGATTCAATTTTGGTATGAATTGAAAAATGTCAAAAATTGGGAAACAGACGAATCAAAAGTAGAACTTTATTATTCCTCCCAACATTTTGGAAATTTTATTGCTTACTTGTAAGTAAATATATATATCTCTATCTCTCTCTTTTTTTTTCAATTAAATTATTAATGATATTTGATGAATGTTTAATTAATATATATATATATATATATTTCATGTGTAGATATGGACATCCCTTAAGGTACAAAAAGATGAATAATTTATTCGTGTTAGCGTATTTGGCTCATAAGTTCAGAGTACCTGAATTATCAGATCATTGTGAAAATTTGTTGACTCAAATGGTATTTAACGGATTTTTTTTTTTTTTTTTTTCTGAGGGGATTATATTTATCTAATTATATTTATATTAAAATAATAAAATATTCTTTAATATTTATTTTAATACAATGACGTATATATATATATATATATAAAATACACACATAAAGTGGGATAGAAGGATGTGGAGAATAACTTTAAAGGTTAGCAAATGGTTAAGATTAAATAATTTAAGACAAGAAATTTTGAAGTTCTTATGGTCAAAAGGTGTAGATAAATTATTTAATTCACGTATATCAAAATTCATTGAAGAAGGGGATATCAAAGAAATTATTAAATTAGCTGAAAATGAAAAAGAAAGAATTTTAACTTCGGTTAAAGAAGAACAACAACAGCAGCAGGAAAGTAGTTGTAGTGAGGATGATGATGATGATGATGATGATAATGAAGAAGATGATGATGATGAAGCACCGGATGATGAAAATATGCAAGATTATTATCAACAACGAAATGAGCGAAAGAAAACTATTATGAAAACTACTATGAAGAATCGAGAATTAAATAATCGAGAGGAAAATCAAAAGGGAAATCAGGAGGGAGTAGTAGTAAATAAAAGAAGAATGGATAAAGATAATATTGTTTCAGATTATGACGAAAACGAAAAATTGTACAAAATTTTTTCCCGAAGAAATAATATCAAAAAGGCAATACAAAAACAAAAACAAAAACGAAGCTTAATGGATCCTTCTCACAATAATGTATCATTATCTGGTCAAAAAGGAACTAACGATAATAATTATTATTCATTACTCGATGATGAATTCGTTGAAGAGGAAGAAAAAAATCATGAAAGAATATCAAGAAACCTCATGAAGGGAAAAAAAGTGAGGAGAATCAAGGAGTCTTTAGTGTCTGAAGATAATAATAATAATAATAATAATAATAATAATAATAATAATAATAATAATAATAATAATAAAATTTTATATAAAAGATCTAAGAGTAAACAAAATTGTGCTTCTATATCACCAATTGATTATGAAGAAGATTATAATTTGACTTCAAACCAAGAACATGCACTAAAAGTTAAATCAAAATATAATAATAATAGTCATTATAGTAATTATAATAATATTAACGTTGTTGAATCTGACGTCGAAGAAGATAATAATAACAATAATCAATCGAGCAAGAAACGGAGTTTTGAAATTACAAATAGGAAAGGCAATAATGACGAGAATTATATTACTTCCAAGAAAGCGAATTGTCAAAAAGAAAAACGAAAGGTTAGGAAAATATATAATAATAATAATAATAATAATACAGAATTAGTCCAAGGAAAATGCAATTTTTCAAAATCCGAATATTATTATGATGACGCCCAACAATCTGATATCGAAGATGAATATTACAATAATTTATCGTCACCTAAAACGCCAAAGACATTAAAGACCTCAAAGAATGAATTATACAAAAAAAGAAATAATTTATCATACGAAATAACTGATAAAATCGATGAGATAAAAAATAAAAAACAAAATAATAATAATGATAATGAAGAAAAATTAAATTTATTAAATCATAATAATAATAATAATAATAATAATAATAACAATAATAAAAAAATATCATCAAAGATTAAACAAGTTGATATCACGAAATCACTTAGATTACAAATTAAAAAAAGAAATAATTTTATTCCTGAAATTCCTAATTGTAGACCACCTGGTGGATTAAAAAGAAATTTATCAGAATTATCAGATAGTTGTTATGGAGCTCAATCCAAGAAGCGAGTACATTGGAACGATTAATATTATATTTAAATTATATTTATTTATTATTATTATTTATTATTGTTATATTTATTATGTAAAAATGATTTATAATTTTACACCCAAAAAAAGAAAACATTTTTAAAAGTTTTTTTCGAGACGAGTAAGAATATAAATAAAAAATAAATAAATATTTACTAAACTAAATACCAAATATATACATACACACGTTAAACTTATCTCGGTTATCATAAGATGGGAAAGAGAACAAGAAAAAGAAAAAGCCAATAAATGCAAGAAATATAATAAATACAGGTATAATCTGCTGCAAATTAATTTCAGCACAAAAAAAAAGCACTTTATTCAAACTAATGGAGTTTGGTTTCCATGCAAGTCATGCAAGCCATGAAAAGGTTCTTTAGCTGATTGTTTTTTTAGGCAGTTTAAACATATTTTTTACTCCGTATCTCGTCTAATTTAATTGTTAAATTTCTTATTTTCGGAAAGATGGCTTTGTGACCAAATATGGATTATCGTGACACAATCAGTAATCCGCACAATCCGCACAATTCACAATTCCGAATTTACGTACAATTTATCGTGTTATTTTTTTTTTATTTTTATTTGATTTTTTATTTTTTCTTATTTCTTTCTCATAAAAATAACTCTTTTTTTTTTTTTTTTAACTAATAAAAAAAAATGAGTCAGGATTTTCCTAATAAAAAATTTCCAAATTTAATAAAATCTATTAAAGGTTTTAGTAATAAGAAAGATAAAATTTATTGTCAAAATCCTGAATGTAGCAAAATTATTTCAGGAGGGGGAACGACAGTTCTTAATTTTTGTAGCAATAATTGTCAATTATCAGTTGATAATGATTTTTTTGATCGACGCCAACAAATAGATAGTTATTCTGGTACTAATAATGATAGATTTAATTCTAATGGTTTGAATGGTTTGAATAATTCAAATAGAAGATTATTTTCTTCAACATCGTCATCATCAAGACAATCAACAATATTTAATAATCATATAAATGAAGATGATGAAAATGATTCATCAAAAGTTACATGCCCAAATTGTACATATTATATTCGAGACGGAAGAACAGCATGTGAAATCTGTGGTACATCTGTTAGAAAGGGAATCTTTGATAAAAAGAAAAAGAAGATTAATAAATTTATGGAAGATGATGATCTTTATTTTAAACCGAAAATTATCGATAGTAATAATTCTGATAATAAATCTAATAGTAATAGTAATAAATCTAGTAATAAAAGTTTTGGTAATAATCGTAATTTTAATAGTTACAATTTTAATAGTAATAGTAGTAGTAGTAGTAATAATAGTCGTAGTAATAGTAATAGTAATAATAGTAATTTTAATCGAAAATCAAAGCAACTAACAAGAAAAAATCCTTTTTATGTTGATGACGACGATGACGATAATAACGACGACAACGATGATGATGATGATGATGACCTTTACATTGTTGAATCAAACTACTCTGATTTTGATGATGATACGTCAAAAAGTGCAACAAATTCTAAAGGTTTAACAAAAAGTTCAAAAAGTAAAACAAAAAGTACATCAAATTTAAATAATTCAAAAATTCAAATATTTGGAGATCAAATTCAATGTCCAATATGTTTTTACTTAAATCACAATTTAATGAATAAATGTGAAATTTGTTATTCTGAATTGAATCCAGTTGATGATAATGATTTTTCATGGATTGCAGATATTGAAGAAAGTTTCAAAGTTGAATGTCCAACATGTTCATATTCAAATAATCCTAATGCCGCACAATGTGAAATGTGTTATTCACCCATAGATGAAAAAGAGTTTAAAGATTTAACGGAATCCGTTCAATGTCCTACTTGTACATTTATTAATAATTCATCATTAATAACTTGTGAAATATGTAATGTAGAATTACCTGGTGGAGCTGAATTAAAAAGAATATATATTGAACTTTATACTAATACTACTCGAATGATGATTTTAAATAAAGATGATCCTGATTATATTGCAATTTCGCAAAGATTTTTAGTTGGACTTCCTCGAGCAAGAATTAATGCCATTCTACGTTTACAAATGCCAAAAAAACTTGTTGATGCACATGAACAATATAAGCAACAAACTGGATTTCCTACTCATCAAATGTTTCATGGAACTAATGTGAGATGTAACCCGGAACGTTATTATGGTCAACCTGGATGGGAATATTGTAAAGACAATTGTGGACTTTGTGGAATAAGTCAATATGGTAATCTTTGTAGAGTTAGTAAACATGGAGGAAGTAAGTATTTTATTATTATTATTATTATTATTATTATTATTATTATTATTATTTTTATTTTTATTTTTATTTTTATTATTATTTTTTATATTAACATTAACAAATATATATGTTAATTATATTAATTTAAAAATTGAGGAATGTGGTTTGCGAGGCATTCTTCAGTATCTTTAGGATATTGTGGTAACGTAGCCATCAAAGCTATGTTCTCGGTTGATATTGTTTCTCAAACTGCACAAAATATTATAATTGTTGATAAAGAAGCTGTAATTATTTTATTGTTGTTACATCTTGTTTCGATGGATAATAGTGTTTGCATCACGAATTACTTTTAATCTAATTACTTATTCTTTATTCTCTATTATATATAGGCCACGCTAAGTAAATTCTTGATCTTGTACCAACTTTAATCAATCAGATAAATGATAAAAGAATAAAAGAGACTTGCAAAGAAGAAAGAAAATATAGAAAAAAGAAATAATTATTACGAACTATCTTTTTTTTTTTGTTTATATATTAATATATATATATTATCTTTTATATATATTTTCTTATATATTTTATAACTATATATATATATTTATAGTTTTTGTACATTTATACATATTATATAAATATATATATATTTTTATGGACTTTTAACTTTTAATTATTTTGCATAATTTGTACATACATATATATATATATATACAATAAATGAATTTTCTATCTCCGCTTCTTTTTTTTTTATTGATAATAATGACGTTTATGACATCAAATCAAATATTTGAATTAACTTGTAAATAAATAAATAAATAAATATATATATATATATATATAATTATTTAATATTCTTTCTTCTCAAATTACAATTTCACTTTATTTTGAATTTTTTTTTTAAAAAAATAAGTAAAAAAAAATGTTAAAATCGTCGGAATCCTCATTTACAATTCACGAACGAAAAGACGATCTCTTTGAAGATAGTAACCCCAATGACGCACTGGCTATTTGCGTCTCACAAGATTTTCGTATGTCACGAGGACTTCCATATGTTTTTAAAGATCGATTTAATGGAATTGATGAATTAAAAAGTCAAGATAAAAGAGTTGGACAAGTGGCTTACCTTTTACATAAAGAAACTGATTATCGTGATAGAATTATTAAATCAAGATATATTTTTTATTTAATCTTTAAAGAAAAATCAATTGATCAACCAATGAAAGTTGATTTTGAAAATACTTTAAAAGAATTAAGAAAGTTAATTGAAGAAATGAAAATTGAAGGAATTAGTATGCCAAAAATTGCTACGGGATTTGATGCTTTTAATTTGGAATACGTTAAACAAGCTATTTGTAAAGTATTTGAAGGAAGTAATATTAGAATTACTATGTATACGTTGTGATGTATCTCCCAAACATTCTCTTATACTTTCTTACTTTCTTTTCTTTGTCACTTTCTTTTCTTCTTTTATTCTTTTTTTTTTTTTTTATCTTTATTGTGTTTATAGAAATTGCTTATCTTTAAACATTATTTGAATATGATTTGCTTTAATGGATTGTTAGGTTTTGAATATCAAATATAAATATATTAATATTTATTATATTATTATCAAATCTGATACAGTATTATTAGAATTATTATAAGAAATTAATTGAAATTAATTGAAGAAAATAATTAAGCAAACATTAATATCATTGATTATAATCAGGATCCCAAATTTCTTTATTATAATTCTCAACCAATTCTGGATCATCCTTATAATTACTTTGCCATCCTTCAAATCCATTTTTAAGCACTTGAACTTTTTGATCCGTTTTAATGCCTTTATTGAGAAATAATTCTTCACTATAAATTCTGGCACATTTTGGTCCACGAGCTTTTGAAAGTGCACAAGTGAAAATTATTTGAGGAACTAATTTAAAAATAAAATAAATTATTAATATATTATTAGTATATTATTAATTTATTATTCTTAATATTATTTAGTATTATTAATAAAATATTACCTTTATTATATTCAGAAATCAGATTTTCTAAACTATCATGAATTTTGGAAGATTGTCTGTTGATGCAATTGGGAATATTTCCTCCCTTATTAAATAAAATTTAATTAAAAATAATTTAAGTAAATAATAATTAAAAAAAATTAAAAACTAAAAATAACTGTGTAAAAATAATAATAATGAATAATAAATCAAATTCACCTCATAATCATCATCACGAACATCCACCACTAAATAATCCTTTCCGGGAATTTTTGATTTATCTTTGATAAGATCTTTTAATTCATCGCGATTAATATATTCAATGGATGGAATGGTTTTTGATGACATTTTTGTAGTAGTAAAATATTGAGTATATTGAAATTTTAATGTCAATGAAGGAGACGAAGTAAAATGTGAAGAAAAATATTTATTATTATTATTGTGGTCGTTATTATTATTATAATTGTAATAGTAAATTGATAGTGAAGGTCGTGATATTAAAAAATTAATTATCCTTCCCCTTCTACTTCGAATTCTGATAAAGTTAGTCGACGATAACATTAATTATATATCGTTATATGAGTACAAGTGTAATACAATCATAGGAGTACAATCATTATATATATATGAATATGAGTAAAAAAAACTGTGGTTGGACATGGGTTAAAATACTTGTACCACTCATCCGGTCGACCTACTCCCACACCTTTCCGTAGGACCCCGTACAAGTGTAATATAATCATTGTAAATATGTGTACACAACATTCTCAATTTTTCATAAAATAAATTAATTCAAACAAAAATATCGAAAACAATATTAATATTATAACAAAAATAACAAAAATAATGGAAGAAAAAAAGAAAGTAGAAATTTATGGCTCAAGTGTTGCAGGAAACATCTTTGTATGTTTTATTCTTCTTCTTAACAATTTTATTATGATAATGATTTTATTATTATTATTATGTTGTTTATTTTTTCTTGTAAACCAAAAATGCTTATTTGCAAATTCTCATTGAATTTTTTTTTGAATTCCGTTCGTTGTAGGTTAAAAAAAATCAAGACTCAATCGAATTTATATTAAAAGCAAATAAAATCGAATTTTCTTTTGTCGATGTAGCAGCTGACGACGATAAACAAAAATATATGAAAAGAAAGAATGGAGGTGAAAAACGATTACCCCAAATTTTTGTGGGTGGTGAATATAAAGGGGTAAGTTTAAAAAAATTTTTTTTTTTTAATATTATTAATTATTTATTAATTATTTTTAATTGCAGTTAGTCAAAGATCTTGAAGAAGCAAATGAATTTAGAGAAGTAAAAAAATTTTTGGGATTAGAATAATTATATTTATTTAAATTATTATTATTATATTTAGTTATCTTAAATAGTTTTTCTTTTTTTTTGATATAATATATGTCAATAATATAATAAATAAACCAAAGAGCCATGTTTATTATTATTATTTAAGAAAATAATATCCAAATTTCAATAATAATAATTTGTATTTGTATTTTAATGCAACAAAGTGAATATTAATTCATTAAATATCTTATATTGTACCTGGGTACATTTCATAGGGGTATATTGCCCTAGTGGTACTTTGGCTGGTAGTTGCAGGTTGCTTAAAAAAAAAAATTAAAGTTTCATTCAATATTTTTTGAAAAGTTGCTTAATTTTATCCTACCTCTAAGAAAGATAGGAAATTGGTTATAGTAAAAATTGTTTAAGTTTTTTATATTAAAATTTTATTTTCTAAATATAGAAATAAAAATTCTAACCGTAAAATATAAAAATAGAAAATCATTATAATTTCACTTAAAAAACTGCCTTTAACTATTTATTACTATGATACGTCACGTGAATAGGAATTCCTAAGTTTTAATTGGCTAAAATTGTATTAGGTGATGCTTGACATAAACCATGAAATTGAGAAATATTTTTTTTTTACATAAATTGATTCACCAAGTTCCTATCTTAGAAGTTCATAAAACTTGTTTAAAATATTGTAGTTATACATGTCACCCAAATTAAATTTCAAAATGTCTTAATTATTTATGACACTTAACCAAATTCAAATTGAACAAAATTAACTTTCAACATCTCAAATAATTATGCATATTTTGGCATTTGTGTAGAGATTAATGTTTATTACACTTTAAAGAATTCTCTGTGAATCAAATCTCCAGAGGTTTCATTGACCTCCAGAGATTTATGCTCGAGATAATTTTTGTAAATGTAAATATCTGGAGATTTACCTCTGAAAACTTTTAAGGTTTACATTTCCTTCAGAATATTCTGAAGGTTTACATCCTATAAAATTTTCTGATGCAGGTTTGATACAAGTTTGATACCTAACTAATAACTTTTGCTAACCGTAATCACAAACCTCTCAAATTTACATAATAACTCGGTAAAACTTCTCATTTTGTCATTAATCACATGTCCTATAACCTTAAAAGGAGATAATCACTTGAATAGATTAAAGCATATAATTGTTAATAATGTGAATATCACAAATATGATATTCCCAACCAATAAATGAATAATAATAAATTCCTTTGATAACTGATTATCTTTATTTTTCAAATTCTTCAAATGTCATTATCATCACCATCATTAATTTCTCATTTCACACGACGTATTCTAATTTCACAATTTATTAATTTTTATACACGAACTAATTTAATTAATGCAGTTAATACAATTAGTAAAACTAATACAATTAAATCGAATAATGCATTGGCTTTTCCCGAATCTTTTAAAGCGGTGGTAGGTACAATTTTTTTTAAAAATTTCAAGAAATTTTTTTTTTAAAAAAAAAATTTAAATTGTTATCATTATTATTATGTCTTTAATTATTATAATTGTATATCTCTTTTAATCATTTGATATATTTTAGTTATAAAAAAAAAAAAAAACTAATTAATCAAAATAGCTTGTACTTTATTAAAACAATAAAAAAAAGGAATTATCACAAATAAGAGGATATGCAAGCAAAAAGAAGAAAAAAAGAGCACCATTTGTTCCTGCTAATGCGCTTCCCTTTCTTGATGCCGTGTCTGTGATTAAGGTAAATATAATATATTATTACTTTGTAAACAATTCATTTTATTTTATTTATGTTATTTATTTTATATTGTTAATAGGCAATGGAAGTAGGATGGCCAAATCATACATATGAAGTACATGTGAAATTAGGATTTGAAAAAGGAGTACAAAATGTTCGTGGTTCAGTCTCTTTCCCAAAATCAATGTCTACAACTGCTCATTTCTTGGTATTTACTAGAGTAAGTTATTCTAATTTTTAATTGAATTTAATTTATATTATTTTTTTTCTTGACGTTAATAATAAATGTAATAATATTATTAATAGGGAACAAAAGTTCAAGAAGCTTTGGATGCAGGAGCAACTGTAGTGGGTGGTGAAGAAATTGTAGCCGAAGTAAATTTAAAAATAATATCCAAATTATATAATTTCATTTTATTACCAATAATTTCATCAACAACTCAAATAAAAATAAATAAAAATAAATAAATAAATAAATAATATACTGTAGATACAACAAGGAACATTTAAATTTGGAGAAATTGACAGATGTCTAGCTACACCAGATATGCTTCCAGCAGTTTCAAAGATTGCCAGAATTTTAGGTCCCAAACAATTAATGCCTACATTAAAGAAAGGAACTGTAACAGATGATATTAAAGGTGCTATTAGAGAAATGGCTGGAAAATTTGAATTTAAAAATGATAAAGCTGGAATTATTCATGCGGGTTATTATTATTAATTTTGATATTAAAGCTATAACATCAATTAGTATTTATTCTGACAATTTATTATTATTTTATTATTATTATTATTATTATTCATTTATAGGAATTGGCAAGGTATGTAAAATTATAACATGATATAACAGAATTCATTGAACAATCTTTTTTTTTTTTTTGAGCAAATATTTATATGTATGTATATATTTATATATATAGTTATCCTGGACAGTAAATGAATTGAGAGGTAACTTTTATTTTCCTATATATTTTATATTTTATATTACTGGTCCAAATATATTAATAAAATATTGACAATAAAAATATTAATATGTTATCAAATAAATATTAGAAAACATACGGGTTCTTTTAAATGAAATAGATGAACAAGGAAAAGCTCATTTATCAAAATCAAAATCACGTCCCAAAAGTAATTATTATTATTATTATTATTATTATTATTATATATCGTATTTATAGTCCTTCGCTAATTTTATTTACTAAAAAAAAATTATATTTTTAATTTTAATAGGTATCATTAGTGAAGTTTGTTTAAATGCCACGAGAGCTCCAGGAATCTATATACTTGATTATAAAGATATAATGTCGGGTGAAAAATTAAAATTTATGGAATTAAATTATCAAGATTTAAGTCTGTATAAGTTGGATGATTTGGATAAAAATAATCTGAATAATATTAATATTGATAAAAGTATGGGAATCAATTAAAAGATCTTTTTTTTTGTAGATATTTTATTTAATTTATTTTGTTTATTTTATTTTAATTGATAACTAGTATCTAATAAATTAATATTTATTATATATAGAATGATAGTATTTGACCATAAAATTGATAATATAACAATTGAAATAGATGTTGAGATAACAGATAAAGAATAATTTAATTTTATTGTTAAAAGTATTTCAAATCATTTATAATTTATATCTGATATATTAGTAAAAAAAAAGACTTCCAGAAAATAACTGATTGTGTTGAAATAACGCGCAAAAGAAAAGCTCGAGAAATCTTTTAATAATTAGAAAATATAATCATTTGTAGGATAGATATTTGAACGAATAGAGTTTAGTCTGAAACGGTAATGAACTCTTGGTTCGACGCTTAGAATTCCTGGTCTAACAAGGATTGAGTTCTTAGTTCGAAGATTCTTTTGTTATATATTGCTTATAGTAAAATGTTGATTTTAATCGATAAAGAATTTAAACAGGATTGTGGATATTTCAAGGTTGAGCATCTGCAGGTAAAGCGTTTGAACAAACATGTAACTGGAAATGACATGACAATTGATGTCAAAACATCATCGAGATGTGAATGAAAATACAAATACCAAAGGAGTTATGACTTCTCTAACAAAAAGGTGAGGCCACAAAATAATTTATTAAAGTTGTTCAGATAATAAATAATACATTAACATGACATGTAGAATATTCTAGAACAAAATGGTTAATTCAAGGAGAAATAAAAATGATGTTTTATGTCAAGATGAAAATGCTACAATTCTATACGAGCAGTCATTCGGAGCTGTAGAGTTTGATTCAGCGCATTATATGAGATATGACAAAATTAAAAAGTAATTATGAGTAGATAATCTAAATTATCAGTATAAAATTCATCCGTAACAACATCGAAATTCATCAATATTCATGGACTCAGTAGGTGTTTCTTTTCTTGTTTGGTATGAATAAATTTTTTGCGACAAGACTGACTTTATATTTTTAAAATATTCCATATTAATATACCTCACGGACCTTATTAATAGTAGAACTTATAGATTTATGAGATATACACTAACATCCGATGGTTGTTTGTTGTTTACTTGACGCACATATGTATTTCATTTACTATTACTTATTACGAGTTTTATTCATTATTATAGAAATTATTCATTGAGCGACAATTTATGAAATGAAAATGTTTTATTTTTTGGTAAATAATAATTATGTAATGTATCAATTAAATTTTATTATTATTTATTATCTGGTAATCCGTTTTTTGGAATTCTTGAATTTTTTTTTTTTAAAAATGTAAAATTTCTTCATGAGTAGGTTTATAGTAACCATTTCTAATTTTAGAAATGTTTGAAAACAAGAAATACATTCATTATATATCATTATCATTATAAAGACAAGTTTTTAAAAAACATACTTTGGACATCTATTTAAATGAAGCGAAAAAATATTTAGTACCTGGTACAGAATTCACTCAGATATCTCTTCTATATATAAGAAAATAAACATCAGAATTTTACTAATTGAAATGGATTAGGTAATCGTAATATATATTCTCTTAGGAAACGATCTGCTAAAGACACGAAATCTCGTACCACCTTAACAAACTCAAATTTAATTTAATGATTTCATTCAAAACAAATAAATACCAAAAATAATAAAATATATAAAATTCATAGTAAGCAATAATAGTAATAATGTAACTTTATTATGTAATGAATATAGATTACAAAAATTGATGACTAATAAAGGAAATTATGACTTGTCTAAAAAAAGATTGATTATTTTTATATTAAATGGTTTATTTTTTTCGATCCTTCAAAAATTCTTTTTTTTTTTTTAAAAAAAAAAACCACATAATTAAACTACGTAATAAACTATTTAATACAATAATAATAAATTATTAAAATAAAGGAAAAATGTTTACCGGAATAGTAGAACACATGGGAATAGTAATAGAAATTCAACAATTAGACAATTCTGTTACAGGTGGAGGTGGTTGGTCAATGAAAGTTGCTGAAGCTGAACCTATACTCGTTGATTGTAGACTTGGTGATAGTATTAGTGTTAATGGTTTGTAATAATAATATTATTTTTATTTCATTTAATTTTATTTTATTCTATTTATTTTATTTATTATATTTTCTTTCTCTCTTCAAAAAAAAAAAAAAAAAATTATCATAGGCACTTGTTTGACTGTAACTGATTTTGATAAAACGTGGTTCAAAGTTGGACTCGCTCCCGAAACACTTAGAAGAACCAATTTAGGTAAAAATTTATTATTATTATTTCTGTAATATTTTTTAAAATATCAAATTTAATAATGATTTATTATACGATATGATTATAATTATCTAGGTGATTTAAAAATTGGCATGAAAGTAAATTTGGAAAGAGCTCTTGCAGCTAATGTTAGATTTGGTGGACATTTTGTACAGGTAATTTTTTCTAAATTTATATTTAAAATATATTTTTAAAAATAAATAAATATAAATAAATATAGATAATAAAACATATTAAAAATAAATAAATAATAAAACATATTAAAATAGGGACACATTGATACAACAGCAATAATCAAATCAATGACACCAGAAAAAAATTCCTTATGGATTAAATTATCACTTTCAGATCCATCATATCTTCGTTATATTATTCCTAAAGGTTATATCTGTTTGGATGGAACTTCTTTAACTATATGTGAAGTAAATGATAAAGAAAAATGGTTTACTGTGATGTTAGTGGCTTACACTCAATCTCATGTTATTATGCCAACTAAAAAAGTTGATGATAAAGTTAATATTGAAGTTGATATGTTGGGTAAATATGTTGAAAAAATTGTTGAACCTATGATTTTTGGAAATAATTATTACGGTGAACAATGTGATGGACAAGGTGAAGGATATATTGAAAAATTAATAAAGAAATATTTGGATGATAAAGTAATTAAAATATTAGATGAAAAATTAAAATCAGAATAATAAAATAATTAGATTAATTGATTTTGATTTTTTATAAATTATTTATTATAAAATTTATTCGAATTATTAATTTATTTTTTTTTCTTGAAAATTAAGAATAATAAATATTACAAAATAATAATAATAAATATTACAAAATAATAATAATAATAAATATTACAAAATAATAATAATAAATTTTCCCAAATTTCAAATTCAAAATTTTATTTGTAAAAATAATTATGACAACTATTACTTTAATATCTCTTTAATAATATTTCTTTTTATATATTTTTATATATAAAAAAGATTATCATCATAATCATCATTATTATTATTATACTACACGTTTGACTTCAAAGAATCTTTTCAAATAAGTCACTTGCCAAGCGCAAACTGCAATAAGAACAATAAATTGAAAAAATGACCAATATTTAACACGATCATTTGTACTTTCGGCAGCTAAATGAATTATTAATTTGTTAAAATTTATTAATTCGATAAATAATAATAAAAATGACGTAAAGAAAATATTTAAAATATTTAAATACGTACTATCTCGGTGTGTACGTTCTCTCATCACTATATATTCTTGTTCATCCTTAATAGCAGCAAGACCATCTGCAAGTTCTCGAATTTCTTTTTCTAAAGGATCAGAATGTGCTACTCAAAAATATTTAAATATACATATATTTAATTTCTTTTCTTTTTTTTTTTAATAGAATAAAATAAAAATAAAAATAAAATAAAATAAAAATAAAATAAAAATAAAATAAAATAGAAAAACTTACATCCATCATCTGGAACATAAATAATTCCATGAACATTAAAACTAACTTCTTTTTCAGTAACTGTAGACATCTCATTACTAAAACAATAAGTGTATCTTCCTTCGAATTCTGCATTTATACTAAATGTTCCAGTGGTTTGTCTCACACTTGATTCCATAAGACGATCTGATGGATCATACATCTATAAAAATAATTTGTGAATAAATATATTATTTAAAAGAATTTCGAATGAATTTCCATAATCTTTTTATAATCTTTTTTACATTAATTTTTAATTATTCAACCATTAAAAAAAATTAATAAATTATACCATGTAATCTATATCCAAATGTCCACCACCATCAACTTGAAAAGTTACGGTCATCTTATCACCTTTATGTAACTCTTCAAAAAAACATTCTCTTGAATTAGGTAGAACTGTTATCGTATGAGCAGCTGAATTACATATTGCAACTGATAATAAAAGAGTAATAATAATGGAAACTGTGTAAGAAAAAGAATGCATCGTTTAATTATATTTCGTTTATGAATTTATTTAATTTTTATATATATTTTTATGAATGAGGTCACAAAATATCTGTAATTATCCTATTGGCTAGGACCATCTTTAAAGAATAATTTTTAAAGTTTCTCTTCTTTAAGTATACCTTCTTATATTATAACCTTTTTCATAACCCTTTCTAATCTCGATCCCACTTTATCGTTACCTCCAATTAAATATTTGCTCCAAAAAAAATTTTTTTTTGAAATATATATTTAATAAGAATTTTTTTATTATAACCAAACAATAATTGAAAGCATTCCACGTGACTCCATATGATTGTCATACTTTTGTAGCTTACAAATATATATTGAAACTTTACAAATTTATGAAAAAAGGCAATTATAAACAACTTTAATTAATAAAAATTTTGATAAAATTTTGTGTTATTTACATTTTAAAAAAGTTTTTTTTTTTTCAATTCTGTCTCTTAGTTCACATGTCGAAATAAACAATTTCTCTTTTTTTTTTATATATAAAACCAATTTCTCTATTTTTTTTATATAAATAATTTTTTTATATTTTATATATTTTATATATACAACAAAAAAAAATTATTAAAATTAAAAATTAAAAGATTTACAGATGGCATTTTTATATTTTTTTAAAATTACATAACTCCCTAAAATTGATACCAGTTATGTAATATTTTTTATAACTTAAATAAAAATAGATATTATTATACAAACTTTAATTATAACTTCATACAAATTCTTGACATTTTTATTTTTTTTATAAGATAATTATGTAATATTTTTTCTGTTCTCAAATATTTGAGATGTCAAAAATAATTTGAGATGCCAAAAATAATTTGGGATTTGAAACTTTTTAACCTTTGGATTCCAAATAATTTTGGCATATTTTAGTAACCATAATATCATAATAATTTGAAATTTAAGTAGCAGATATATGGTAAACAATTGGTGAAGTTTATATAAGTAACTTGATTCAAGTATTTTTGCAATATATATATGCATATTTTGATTATACAAAAATCAAATCATGTAATAGATTTATAAAGTTAGGAATTGATTAGAGAATGTTAGTGACAATCACCAGTGGTGAGTTTTAATGATATCCAATATTATTTTATTATTTAACA